ACATCCTGCGTAAGAGCAGTTGCTAATGCCTTCACCTGTGAGAATGGGAACACCGCCTCATTGAAGCGGACATGCCGGGATATGTAGACACGTCCAGACTGAATACCAAGACACCGGTAGCCATAGTAGGAGTCCGGGTAACCAAGGAAGACACACGCCTTGGAACGGAAGTCCATTTTGTGTGTGTTGTATGGGCGTAAATGCGGGAAACACTCACACCCAAACACACGTAGTATGGTATAGTTAGGAGCATGACCGTAAAGTAAAGAATACGGACTTTTACCACACGAAACAGGAGATGGAAGGCGATTGATCAAGTGTACTGCCGCTTCAAAGGCATAGAACCAGAACTTGTGGGGAACCTGAGCACGGGCTAACAAAGTCAGACCCGTTTCTACCACATGCCGATTCCTGCGTTCCACACGCCCATTCTGTTCGTGTGTATGAGGACATGACTTTTTGTGAAGTATTCCTAGGGCTGCAAAAACCGTACCTAATTTCATGTATTCAGCACCCATATCGGATTGGACACACTTTATGGGGCGGGAGAACTGTTTCTCCACTAATGCCCGAAACCTGCCAAAGATAGTATAAATGTCCGACTTTAGATGCATGGGATAAATCCACATGAACTTAGAGTAGTCATCGACGAACAACACAAAGTACTTATGGCCATCAACTGTGGGCACAGAAGATGGACCCCAAATATCAGAAAAAACAAGATCCAAAACCGACTCACTAGACTTTTCAATACGTGACAATAGGAAGCGCGCAGACTTGCCCATCTGACACGGACACGGAGTACATACGTTATTTAAAGAATTACAAGACCCTACAACTGGACAGGTTGCCAAGACTTGTTTTAATACTCGAGAGTTGGGGTGACCGAGACGCTCATGCCATGTCCTTGGGGACGCTTTAGCAGACAAGAAAGCAACTGGACTTGAAACATTGAGTTGGTACATCCCACCTGTGCTAGGACCTCTAAGCAGAATCTGCTGGGTGTACGGTCCTTCACAACAAAAAACGAGGGTGAAATTCAAAGTACACATCATTATCTTGTGTAAACTTTTAGACAGACAACAGAGACGCACGTAGTTCGGGGACATGTAACACATGCTTTAGAAACAGAGACCGAGACGGGGAATTTAATGTAAAGGAACCTGTATTCTTATAAACCAAACCTGTGCCATCTCCTACTTGCAGTGCCTCACCGCCTGAATAGTGTTCTACGCCAGTCAGACTATCAACCGCCGATGTAGCATGCGCATTGGCCCCTGTATCAGGCAGCCACACATTTGAAAAAGGAGCAGTATTGTGGTCATTTTGTTGCTGCCGGTGTGCCATGTTCGCCTGAGGTTGAGCAGAAGCCGAACGAGGGCCGCCGTAGTCGTTGAACCGCCGGTAGCAAGTCAGGGCTGTGTGACCGGGTATGTCACATATTTGACAACGCACACCACCTCAGCCACGCTGTCCACGCCCTCACTGTCCTCTCTGATGCCGGCCGCGACCACGTCCACCGCCGTTGGTGGACCGGTTGTTCGATGGTGCCTGCTGGGCAATCAACACCGCCGGAGAATGGCCGACTGGTGCAGCTTCTTCCGGAAAAAGGTAGATGTGAGTATTAAGGAGATCAGCTACTTCCGATATGGTCAGGGGAGCACTTTTGGTCGTGAGGGAGGCAACGAGTGACCGATATTCTGGCCTGAGACCACTGAATAGATGCAGGTTCTGCTCGTCCAGTCCTATCGGTCGACCGGCCAATGCGAGCTGTTCGACAAGAATTTTGGCACGTCCGTAGGGGTGTTAGCGAACAGAGCTTTCGGCAAACTACTCGTGTTCGTGTTCGGTAAGCGTTCGTTTATGTTCGTTTGTTAAGGTAAACGAACATTAACAAACAAAAATTAGAGCTCGGTTAATAAACGAACAGAGCTTGAACCGTTGTAAGCTCGTTTGCTAAGAGATCGTGAACAAGTTCGTTTGTGTTCGTTTACTAATGTTCGTGAACAAGCTCGTTTATGTTCGTTTAATAATGTTCGTGAACAAACTCGTTTGCGTTCGTTTAATAATGTTCGTGAACATGTTCACAAAAATATTATATTATATTATATTATATTAGTTTTGTAGTTGTGTTGTTTGTTTGATTATTGTTCGTGAACATATATTATTTATTGTTTCGCGAACGAATTGTGATCATGAACATGTGCAGGTGTTTGTTTATTAAGTATTCATGAACGTAAATGAATATGTTCGTGAATGTGCTGTTTAATGAACATGTTTGTGAACGTGTTTGTTAACGTTAACGAACACGTTTGCGAACGTGTTCACGAACGTAAACAAACATGTTCGCGAACATGTTCGTTAACGTTAACGAACACGTTCGTGAACATGTTCGCGAACGTTAACAAACACTAACGAACTCTTAACAAACGAACACGAACATGATTTTCAAAAACCTTAACAAACGAACACGAACACGAACACTCCAAATTCCTTAACAAACGAACACGAACAACCTCCGTTCGTTTATGTTCGGTTCGTTAACAGCCCTACACGTCCGAGATACTCGGATGTCGACGAGTTCCCTTGCTGAAGCCCCTGGAGTTGTGTCAGTAGGCTGAGGGTGCGGAAACGCGACGTCGAGCCCAAGGCTGTTTCGACCGATACCCAAACCGCCCTGGCAGTGTTGAGGCCGATTGCGAGGTATAGTACCTCCTCCGCCATGGACGAGTACAGCATGCTTAGAATGGACTGGTCCTGTTGGACCCAGTCGGCGTGCAGCGGATTCACCACCGGGGTTGCCGTCGGCGTGGTCGGGGAAGGCAGAAACTCCGGCGGACACACACTCGTTCCGTCGACAAAGCCATAGAGATTTTGGCCTCTCAAGAACGGGACCAGCTGTGCTCTCCAGAACAGGTAGTTCGTGGCATTCAACTTTAGTGAAACATAGTGATGCGCCTGCTGCAACATACTGGCCGGACGTCGGTCAGGTTGCGCAACTGCTTGGTTCTCTCGTTCGGAGGAGTCGGCGGGAGTGGGGTTGGACGCGATTGTGGGTGGGTTGGCCATTGGATCGTATTTTAGACTGATACCAAATGAGAAGGGAAAACTCAGGATTTCAATATTCACCGGTGATGAAAATATTACAAGGTTTATATAGTAGAGCTGCCCACCACAATAGGTGGGGGAGCTTGACACAGCTAAAGACTCTACTTTATTATAACAAAACTAATAACAAACTAGCTGACTTAATAGTCCTTTTAGTATGCTTTTTTTTTACACATTAAGTCCTTCCGGCTAATTTGTCGGTAGATTTTCACCGGAAAAAACAATTTAATTTGTTTATTAATTTTTTGGGGGGGTAAAATGGTCATTTTGGTCTGAGAAAAAAGGGAATAAACGGTGGCTTCTATTTCCCACCTTAAATAACGTCCACCTTAGTATCATCGTAAAGCATTACGGAGAGTATTGTTGGTGAAGGGTTCACAAATTGTTTCCCAATTTCCGATTGCACTTACATCGGATTACCGATGCTCGGATCTCAACTAGGCGTCCGTACGATCTCCGGTGCCGGCGTTCTCACCGATTATGCCCAGACGACGACGACGCGCTTCTGCCGAATTTCCAGCTCGCATTCTTACTCTTCTTCGCTACCGCTTATCCGCCGCCGTGGCTATTCGTTTCAGCTCTAGCGCTCCCTAAACAGGCATTGTATGATTTGTAGGAAGCCATCGAGAGCGACCGCTGAGATGTCTTCCAAGTCTTCTCGCGGAAGCTCCGGGAGAAAATCGAACCAAAGCGAAGACCACGATGGCGATTACGTCGAAGCCGTTGTACTCGTTTCAGGTCTCAAAAATTCTCCGTTTAAACTAAATTTTGGTTACTCTTTGTCCAAAAGTTATTAAACCTAAAATTATATGTTTGATTTTGCTATAAACAGAATTCGAATTAATTGATTGTGGATTTTTAAAAAAAAATTAAATGATATAGAAAATCAATTAGACAACGTATTTAAGGTGGGAAATAGAAGCCACCGTTTATCCCCTTTTTCTCAGACCAAAAGTGACCATTTTACCCCCTCCCCCCCCACCCCCCCCCCCCCCAAAAAAAAAAATTAATAAACAAATTAAATTATTTTTTCGGCGAAAATCTACCGGTAAATTAGCCGAAATGACTTAATGTGTAAAAAAAACATACTAAAAGGACTAAATCTGTTAGTTTTAAAAGTCACGAACTGAAATTACCACCTCCCCTATAGTCATAGGACCAAAATTGTAATTTTCTCTATTTAAATTGATATACAAATATAAATTATAACAAGAAATATTATATAGCCACAGTTGAAGAAATGATTGTATTGATTATATTTTCTGATATTATCCTTATTTGAATAGAAGTAAATAATTACTTAATTATCTGTGCAATGCGCACGCGCGATGCACAGATACAATTATTATTACTATTATGGAATATTAAAAAGTGGTAAAAAAGAAACCAAATGCATTGCAAAATATGTCTGCCGATCCCCACCATTTCACGCTTAATACTTCTCATTTTCAACAACCCACCCGACCCCTACTACGCTCTCTGTGACTCTCTCATCTCAATCATAATCCAACACTACTACACAGCAGGCCTTTAACGTCGGTTATTTAGAGACTTTAACGTCGGCTAAAAAGCGACGTTGTATAGTAAACATACGACATCGGTTAAATAAAAACTGGCGTTGTATTTTTTTTATTTAATTAATACAACTTATAACGTCGGTTAGTAGGAAATAACCGACGTTTTATGTAGTTAATTTTTAAAAAAAAATTTAACATAACACGTCGATTTGTAGTTAAAAACCGACGCGTTATGTCATTAAAAAAATAAAAAAAATTATGCCTACAGCCAGAGAACTGTAGCGATGGATTACTGCTAGAACAGTTTCAATTGCTGGAAAGGCAATTAGTTTTTGCCTTCTTTTTCACCTACACTTGCTAACAGAAGAAATTCCATTTACATATAATTTCCTTTGTTGCTAGGAAGATGATGACAAATAACACCAATGAAGCTAGCAAAAGAATTCTGATATACTAATGCAGTTATGCCAAATGTCTTGGGGGCATTTACAACTTCAGAATGATACTTGTCTTGATCCAGATTAAGGATTATTTTTCCCAGTGTCACTGTGCCCTTCATATCTATATGAGTAGTTCAAATTCCTTCAATGAAGAAAGTAGCATATTAACATGGCATCAGCTTCTCAGTCTACTCTAACTTCAAAGGCTAAGATCATAATTTCCAAAACCACATTGAGTTTCCCCACATTTCTATGCATGCAAGCCTAAGATAACAATAGAATTAAGCAGCAGTGTACACCACCGATCTCCAAAAGAGCCTTAATTAATCAAAATCAGTATAAGAAACTAAGCATAAAAAAATGAACACCGCAACAGCAATATAATGAACTAACAATTAGTCTTACATGAGAAATACTTTCATGTATGGCAGCTCTCTCACGTAATAACTGATCTCTTGGAGACATGCTCCCTGCCTGCTTAAATAAAAATCTTAGATTAATAAGACAAAACACTTGCATCCATTAGAAAACTTAAAACTCGAAATTACTCACCTTGGAGGTGTTTGGCAATTAGCTGATAGCTGATAGCTGGTTGAGTTAACTGATAACTAATAGCTGATTGTGTTAGTTGGTTTGACCACCTGATTATATTAGCTGGTTATAGAAAAGTGTTTGGTAAATTAGCTGTTTATTTTTAGCTGATTATATGTAAAATGACCTATAAGGGTATTGTGTTAATTTTTTAATTCTTTAGTCATATTTACCATTTTTTTTAATTCTTTAGTTACATTTACAATTTTTTATTATTATTATTATTATTATTAAATGTAAGCTGAAACCACCACCGTACTTTTATTATTATTATTATTATTATTATTATTATTATTATTATTATTATTAACCATTTGACCAAACCCACACTCATTCAGTCATTTGTAAACCAAAGCCCTACCCGTTTCTTCTACCCCAAATCAGACGCCCAAATCCCTACCCATTTCTTCTGCCCCAAATCAGACACGAAGAGGAGCAGTGGAGATCAATCAAGAAACCCACAGTACATTTGTATTTTCTTCTACACCAAATCAGACGCAAAGAGGAGAAGAGGAGCAGTGGAGGAGGCAAGAATCAGAGGCGAGAGACGGTGGGAAAGAAAAAATGGCAAGAATCAGATGGCAACGAAGATGAAGATGAGTCATTAGTCGTTTCCATTGTTGTTGGTGTTTTTTTTTTAAAAAAAAAAAAAATCAGTGATGGGTTGAATATGAAAGAAGCAGTTGCGAGATGAGAAGATGCAGATGGGAAGAAGGGATGCGAATGAGAGAGATGAGATTTCTCAGATTAGGGAGATGATTTACATGGATTGAAATGTCATTTTACAAATAAATTGCAAGCAGCTGATGAAAAACGCTGCTAACACCAGCGTTTTGTATTTTGGCTGATTGGCCCAATCAGCCATTTACCAAACACTCAAAAATAGCTTATTGACTGGTCAATCAGCTATTTTTAGTCAAATTAGCTAATTTTTGACTGATAAGCCAATAACCAAACACCCCCCTTGTATTCACTAATATCATCTCTTACAGAACTAAGAAGTTCCGCATGTTCCCACATTGAGCTTATATTCCCTTTAATACGTCTAAACTCCTGAATACAATCATGGAGTCAGTACAAGAGAAATGATAACCAGAAACCTTAATATTACTTTAATATTACTACATACGTTTTTCTTTTTCTTCTTCAATTGCTAATGTAGATAATAATTATTAAAAAAAAAAAAAAACAGTAACATGTGGCTAACTTAGCCGTGGAATTCTAGAGGATCAATATAATGAGCTAATGGGAAAGCCTTTGCACAATCAAATCCTACCTGATCTATTAAATATGGGTTTGTGATCACCTAGCCTCTTTTTCTGTATGCTTCACGAACTTCTTCACACGAATTTACAACAATTATCATCTGACTGCAAAAAGAATACAAGTTGATAAAGAGTGATACCTTAAGAATATACACGAATTACCCTCCTTCATGCGCTACTTCATGCACATCATGAATAATCCACACTTATTGTATTCCCACTCTTAAATAAAAAAAAAAAAAAAAAGTAATGATGACGAACAGTAGATGCCATATTAAAGAAGCCTTCGCATCTATTTTCACCGGATAGAGAATTTATCACCTTGACAAAATTTTCAATTGTCAACCATTTTGAAATCAACCTTGAAATATTAGTCCCTGACTCCCTGTGGATAAACTAAGAGCAATTTCTTTGCCAGAACAATGAAACAAGAATATACTAGAGCATGTGCTATGAAAAAAGCAGTGTAAGAATCCAAAAGAAATGTACCCATCAAGCATTATATTAAACATTCTACAAGCACCATAACTGAAAGCAATACATAATATCCGATAATCCAGAATGGCAGAGCCATGTCCCAAATTCAACACTGGATTCAAGTCTAAAAAAATCAGCCACAAACTAAAACATCTAAAGAAACAACTAGCAATAGGAATATTATCCTAAAATTTGAAAGGAGCTTATCGTAATGAGTTACGCAAGAATGTACAGTACTAACCAGAATGGCTAAAATAACAAATCGGTTGATCTTTGAAGGAACAATGGGAAATTGCTGCACATATATCTAATTTTACTCATTACAACCCACAACATCATCTCAGGTACGGACCTATGTACTCAGATCAGATCTGAGATTTATTTTAAGAAAAAAAAAAAAAACAAAAAAACAAAAAACAAAAAAAAAACAAAAAACAAAAAACAAAAAAAACAAAAAACAAAAAACAAACAAAACAAAAGAAAGGACAGATCTGAGATTTACCTTTGGTGCGGCGGTGCGGCGGCAGGACGGTGTGTTGTGTGGTGGCTGTGCTGTGGTGAGAAGAAGAGGACGGCGTCGGGGGCAATGGTGACTGTGCTGGCCGGCGTGAAGGGGTGCGGTGGTGGCTGCGGTGTGCTGTGCGGTGGCTGTGCTGTGCTGAGAAGAAGAGGACGATGTCGGTGGGAGTGTGAATAGCTTTTGGCTGTGTGATGAACGGAGATTAAATGTAGGGTTTTAAAAAATATATAAAAATTATACAACGTCGGTTGTTCAACAGTCGACGATGTAGATTAATTATATAAATTAAAAATAAAAATTAATTACCTACGACATCGGCTATTCTATTAGCCGACGTCGTATGTTTATCTTTTTTTATATTTTTATTTTATACTTATAACGTAGGCTATTATCTATTAGCCGACGTTAAATAATTTTTAATTAATTTTATATATTTAATTAATTTTTAACGTCGGTTATATAAATAATCGACGTTAAATGTGAATTCTGTAGTAGTGCAACAATGTAACTTCACTCCACTCCGGAGAAGCTAGGGCAACCAAGAAGAGGTACAACTAACGTTGTTAGCTACTGTTGAATATTGGTGAATAAATCGATATACAAAATATATATAAAATATATATTTGTCCCTAAAAAATAGAATTTAATTTTTAAAAAATTAATTCCAACAAATTTTGGTACAAAACCAAAATCATATATATATATATATATATATATATATATATATATATATATATATATATATATATATATATATATATATATATATATATTATTAACCAACTAGGGATTTATTTTATCAAAATAATCCCACCACAACTAGTACGAAACTAGTACAAGGGATTTAATCATTCCGAGATTAATCCCACCACAAAACTAGTACAAGGATTTAACCTTTACAAGATTAATCCCACCACTTGGTGCGAAACCAAGAACAAAAACATAAAACAAGAAACGGGTTTCTAACCTGAGGTTTTAACCCAACGAGAAAGAAGAAGAAGCAGAGCTTGGTACGAAACCAATAACAAAAATATAAAACAAGATACGGGTTTCTAACCTAAGGTTTTAACCCAACGAGAAAGTAGAAGAAGCAGAGGAAGCCCGAGTTTTGTGTACACACACTCTCCTTAAAACCGATTCGCCGCCTCCCGAGAGTGCTAGGAGCGTTATGGCGTCAGTCTCCCAGGATAAAACGGATTACGACTTTGGCGTTCGAGCACTCAAACCAAAAGCTCGGCGAACAAGAACACAAGTTGAGCACTTCGATGTTTTACGGAAGATGTTGGCAGAATTTTCCCTTCGTAGCAAAAGATGAGACTTGAGAGTATATGGAGGGGAAAACCGAAAAGAAGAATTATGAGAGTTTCAATCTAGAATGTTGTGTTCTCACATTCTGCCACCACCATTGTATTCTCAAAATAATCCTCGACTATAGTTGTTTTTCTCAATTTTGTCCTAAACGACTTTGGTGACTTAATGTAGTCCCAGAGTTTTGTATTTTTACTCAATTTAGTCCCAGACTTTTGTATTTTTGCTCAATTTAGTCCTCCATTTGTTATTCTGTCTATTTGTTGTTAAATAAATAGGCACTTCAGTAATTTTAATATTAGCATCTCTTTACTCATAGACATGTGAAGTGCGAAATCTTCTTTTTTTTAACGAATTACTCTCATAATCACTCCTAAACCTATGAATATAAAATTTGATTCGTAGGCATGAGAGTAATTCTGGGTGTAATTCGTACAAGAAAGGGGGATTTCTAACTTCGCAGGTTGAAAGTAAAGAAAGGTCAATAGTAATATTATTGAATTGTCACTTTATTTAACACTAGTTTGACGGAATAACAAACGGAGGACTAAATTGAGCGAAACACAAAAGTCTGGGACTATATTAGGTCACTAAAGTCATTTAGGACGAAATTGAGAAAAACCACTATAGTCGAGGACAATTTTGGGTATTAACTCATAACATATTCATGGCACAAAAACCACCATTAATCCAATTTAAAATTGAATTAAACGTTTGAAACGGTCATACTTATTATCGAAATAATATAAACGGTCACAAAATTAATATACAATATTAATTCTTACCGACCTTAATAACCCGTGTTCAAAATACCTGAGTGACCGAGAAGTCCATACGTCTAAAATAATTCCAGCACCATCCGAAAGTCTTCCTACCGGAAGGTGCAGTTAAGCACCTGCGGTTCGAAAGATGAAATTAAGCACCTTCGGAACGGAAGATGCAAATTAAGCATCTCCCGGTACACAGCACCATTTGGTGACATAACCAATTAACCGTTAAGGCTAATTAAGCACTATGATTAGTGCTTCCTTAAACACTATAATTAGTGCATTAAAATGGACGTTCAGCACTACGAAAGTGCATCAAATAGCATTTAACAAATGCTAAAATAAAATTTGAACCTAAGTTCAATTTTTGACTTCTCTCAAATAGGTTCATTTTGAGAATTAATTTCTCATTCACCTATTATCCATTTTGAACGTACATTCTTTGTCTCACTACGAAGAACCCGAATCCATTATGACCCGACCCAAATCTGTAGTGGATCTCACATATATTTATACCACAAAATAACCACTCAGAATTTCATTTTATGCTAAAAATTCCAACAATCCCCCACATGTGAGACGTACATTATATCAAATTCTTTGTCTCACTACGAAGAACCCAAATCCATTATGACCCGACCCAAATCTGTAGTGGATCTCACATATATTTATACCACAAAATAACCACTCAGAATTTCATTTTATGCTAAAAATTCCAACAATCCCCCACATGAATGAAAAATGATTTTCGGGACGAAAAAAAAAAAAGACACGAACGTGCTCAACGTTCGATCCCTGCATAGCATAGGTAGGTGTTACCCTTTGAACCTTTCCTTGTGAAGATATGTTTACTCTACTGGCTGTATGGTAGAACTTGATGTCTTTGAACCAACTGCCGTTTGTGTAGACGATGACATATCCCACACAGGAACCTCCCAACCTTTGTTCTGTTCTCATGGGTGTGCCCATTTTGGTCATGGGTCACCATCCTGGTTCTCCAAGAGTTTCTAAAGAATTGAGCCCGTCAATTCTCCTTTGAAGCGACCCCACTTCTCTCTCACATAGGTGATTCTTTTTCGAGTATCCCGCATAGTCACACATGTCAACCGACATTCAAATCATTAAAGCATCTGCGTGCTAACCTCGTACGGGAGTCACTGTTCTCATGAGGAATGGTAGGAGTCCGAGACCCCCACAGTGACACGCTTCGTTCCATAATTTAGTTGTCCCATTGCACCTAGGTGCCAGCTGGGTTAGGTGTCCACTATAGAACTTTTTATTCCATGGGCTTCAAACCCATTCCTCGCGCCAACTTCTCAACAACATCTTTGCACAACCCTTTGGTTAGCGGATCCGCTATATTGTCCTTTGACTTCACATAGTCAACCGAGACAACACCCGTTGTGAGTAGTTGATTAATGGTATTATGTCTCTGACGTATATGTCTAGACTTGCCATTATACATATGACTCTGTACTCTCCCAATTATGGCTTGATTATCGCAATGCACACTAATTGGAGGTACAGGTCTATCCTAACAAGGATATTCCTCCACAAAATGGCGTAGCCATTCAGCCTCTTCACAACATTTTTCTAAGGCTATCAGCTCAGATTCCATCGTGGATCTAGCTATCAAGGTTTGTTCGAGGATTTCCAAGAAACGGTTGCACCGGCTAACGTAAACACGTAGCCACTCGTGGACTTAGAGTCCTTCATATCCAATATCCAATTAGCGTCGCTATACCCTTCTGATAGGAATATTTTTGTAAGTTTTGATGAGCCAAATGTATCTTTAGATCCCCTTAGTTTTTAAGTCTTTAGTACAAGCATCATAAATCAGAATATTGAAATCAGAAGGAATCTACCATAGGAAGAACAAAATTAATTTGAGAAATTAATTTTTGTCCTACGAGTATTCATCCGTGAAAGAAGCATAAAGCAATGGCGTTGCAAGGAATGATTGGATGAGCTTAATGGCGAAATGGTAGAGGTCCTTACTCTAAACGATTACAC